AGGACAGACATTTGGGGTTCTTTTATGACATTTTTTTATAATCGGAATATTAATTACAATGATAAATTATATAAATTATATTTATATATGTTAAGTTCGCCCGGCCGAACTTATTATACCCTCCACCATGAGGATGACATCCAAAATATGTGAAATTAATGGGGGCTCCTAGGAGAAAACACATGTTATGAAAGAACTTTGAATATACCGAAAAAAGGTGTGTGAAATTGGAAGGGTTAGCGCTTTTTTTGGGACTACACCAAAACGGGGATCAATACGGATCATTTTGGGTAATGAAACAATTTTTAGTATAGAGATGTTGAGGTACCGTTATATTCATAATTTTTGGTACATATACAATATAACACAATACGATGATAACATAAATTAAAAAATTACAGACAATTTGATTGAAAAACGTGTCCAAAAACTTAAAAAATACCGAATATTGAGGTATTAATTTAATATTTTAATTTTTAGTATGTGCATGTGCTATACAATGAGAACCTCAAATACTAAATTACAGCCAATTCGGTTGAAAAACGTGTCCAAAATCTTCACAATACCGAATATTGGGGGCTAAGGTGGTATATTGGAAGCAAGTAAATACGTGGATAAGTTCAGCCCGGCCCACCACAGCGTGCTTTCAAAATTTCCAAAATTCCTTAAAGCATTGTGCGATAGAAGGTATTTTATCACCTAAAAATAATGTTTTTAGTTACAAATCCACTGGTTTAAAAATTTGGGTAACAACTTCAGCATACCGAAAATTAAACGAGACATTTGCATGGGGGTAATTTTAAAATATTAGCCCCCATAAAAATGATTTAGAACAGTAATACAACATTTGTTTCAATGAGACATGTACAAAATTGTCGAGGAGGCAGAAACCTTTAATAAACCATACTTCTACTTTCTTAACATTCGCCCTTTGACCTACATTTTAGGCAATGAAATAAAATCATTCATTTACATTAACGTTCTATGGATTTCAAAACAATTTCAATCCTTAAGGGATCTAACTCCCCAACTAAATTTAATTCCAGCACACAATAAAGTACTGCAATAAAATAAATGCATTTTTTAAATACATTTCAGTTGTAAACGAGATGATGAAGTTCATACTTGTTTTTATTATTATCATTTTCGTAAAGGACGCACAACCGAATTCGATAAATCAAGTAATCGACCAAATTCAAAATGAATTGGATATTTATACCTTGTTACTGTTTGTTAATCAAGAAACCTTCGATGTCTTGGAAAGTCCAAATCTACCACAATTGGTAATAGGCGGCAATGAAACAGCCAAGGATTTAAGAAGATCTCAAGGACAACGAGTTTTAAGTTTTATTCGCTTGGATGTATTCGGCCTCGAAGATTTGAATGAATTTATAAAACCTTCGTTGTTGAATCTCCATTTGGCTGATGTCTTGTTTTACACGAATTCAACGGAATTGGAAGAAGACGAATGGCATTGGTTGTTTCAGTGGTGTTGGACGGAAGGATTCTGGCGTGTCCTGTTAATGAATGCAGCTGAAATGTATCTCACCATGGATTCAATACCAGAAATGAATATTAAAAGTGTCAATTTGAATGATTACATTGTCATGAGGAAAAATCGCGTTGTAAATCTGCAGGGTTATCCCGTAAAGGTTGCAGTAGGCAGCAAACCACCTCGTGTTAACGCCTTTTTCGACGAAGAAGGTAATCTACAACTGGGTGGATATTATGGTCACATTGTCAGTATGTTTATCTCTCGGTTCAATGCCACCATGGATTACGTCATTATGCCCAACATGTCGTCATACTCGATACTAAGTTGTATAGAGTCGATTTTGGAACAAACCTCGGATATTTGTAGTGATGCCATACTGTTTGGCAATGGCATCGAGACCACCCGACCTTTGCATGTGGTGTCCAGTCATTTGGTGGTACCGTTCGATAAACCTCTGGAAAACTACAATTATTTTCGCAAACCATTCACCATCGATGTGTGGATTTGCATTGCAATTAGTTTTATTTCGACCATTGTTTTGCTGATTCTGATCGAGTACAAGGAATATGGTCAGTTGCGGTTGGTCAATAGTATTTTCACCACATTTTCTAGTCTAATATGTGCATCATTCAGTGTGGAACATCTGCCACCCATATATCACTATGGTGTTGAGACAATTTGTTTTCACCGAAGAGGAAGCTGTGAGGAATATGCAGCTACTAAATACGGACTATGTATATTTTGGCATTAACGCTGAAACTGATTTCTTCTTGTACCAGCAAAAGTATTTATCACGTCCTCGCATGAAGAAATTGGAGGACGAGGCCGTGACAACTGATATTGGAGAAATTCCAATGAGGGCATATTGGCCGTTGCAGGATCTTCTAATGTCTCATATGGAAAATATTTTTGCCAGTGGAATTACAATGTACCTGGAGACGGAAACCTTTGAGGAGGGCATACGACAAGGGGATATATCATTTATACCCAACAGGGATTTATATGTGGAGCCATTGTCGTTGGAATATTTTGTGTTGTGTGGTTTACTCTTGGCTGGTGGATACTCAATCTCATTTTTGTGTTTTATTATTGAAATTGTTGTCAATAAATATCGTGGACGAAAATAAAGCTAATATAATGGAGTGCCTACTTCTCAATTATTAATTGGTCGTGTAATATATACGGTTGTAATTATTTTATGGGAATTTAGTCCACAAGAGAATACATCTGAAGAAAGCCGAAAGCAGAATAAAGTGCCATTCCGGAACATCTTTTTGTATTCCCGACAGAATACAATTGTGATTTGTAGTTATTGCGATTTGTAGATTAACTGTACAGGCCGATATATATAATTTCAAAACCAAACAACTTAGGAGTAGTAGCAAAAATTCAAGGCGCTGTAGCAAGTATTGTGATCTCTATTATGATTTGAATAGTCCAACGGACAGACATAACTAAACCTCAGAAGAATATTTCGATATGTTGCAAATTGAACGACAAATTAAATCTAAAAAGAAACGATACATTTTGATCAAAATGACCCATCTATATTTGCATCAATAATCCGTCTCAGATAAAGAGTTATATATTTTGTAGTTTCAAAAGAATGAAATTAGAATTCGATATCTGTCAAATTAAATTCTTGAACTTTTTTTAATTTCAGTTGAAAGTTTGATATTGACGTGAATCGATCGCTTAACTTTCGGGAAAGCATAAAAATTTTCAAAACCTGTTACAAAAATTATGATTTTGCTACATCCATATCGTTCTTTAAGTGGAGATTATTCGAATTCTGAGAACCCTTAAGTTATCAAAGAGAGGCTATTACATTCAGAAAAGTTCGCTATTTCGTCTGAATTTGTGATTGTACCTTAGTTTTTCGAAAACGACGATGGACTGTCAATTCGGAGCGTTATTGTCATATTATAACGGACTTTTTTTGTCTGCTACGAGTATTTAAGAAGACGACTTGGGGAATATGTGGTTTTAATAAGACGGTGCCACATAACACACAACTCGATTGAATATGGCTTTATTGCTAGAGACATTCTAGAATGTTTGGTATTACAAAAGGAATATATAGGTCCACGTGGTGTAGCCCCCATATATGGATAAGCTTCATTTGAAATTAATTTTTTCGAAGTTTTAAGACGGTGGTATATATGTTGAAAACTACTTCGAACATATTTCCAATAACCACAACATAATACATCACTCCTTTTCTTATCAATTTCAACCAGGATTAACAATTTTTGAAATCCATAAAATACTCATAGCCGCCTAGATAGAATAGACGATCACAACGAAAGTTGTACAGATTCCAACAAGGACGTAGGATCTGTTGGGAAGTCTAAATTCAGACGAATTTAGAGCCTTTGGATTATAAGTTGCCGGCAAAAGCAACAACTACAACACATACAAAATATACGAACAACACCACAAGTATACGCTTTATACTCACGTGATGGTACGCACAAGTAAAAAGAATAATATTCACTTTTTTATACCCTTCACCACGCTGTGGTACAGGGTATTATGTCTTTGTGCATATGTTTGTAACAGGCAAAAATAATTGAGATAGACCCATGGTTCCTTTTGAGAATATGCATAGAATCACTTTCTAAGTCGATTTATGCATGTCCGTCCGTCCGTCCGTCTGTCCGTCTGTCTGTCTGTCCATGTTAAATTGTAAACAAAGTACAGGTCGCATTTATGATCCGAATTGGATGAAATTTGGCATAGGTCACTTATTCGGCCCAAGGACGAACCCTATTGAAATTGGGAAAAATCGGTTCAGATTTAGATATAGCTCCCATATATATATTTAACCGATTTAATGTAAACGGTCCCTATATATCTTTCGATCTGCACGAAATTTGGTACAGGCTAATCATTTAGGCCTATAATGATGTCTGCCAATTTTCGTTAAAATCGGTCCAGATTTAGATATAGCTCCCATATATAGTTTCGTCCGATTTCATGTAAATGGTGCCCCTAAGTCCCTATATATCTTTTGATTTGTACGAAATTTGGCATAACGTACTGAATTAAGCCTAGAGTGATGTCTGCCAAGTTTCGTGAAAATCGGTCCAGATTTAGATATAGCTCCCATATATAGTTTCGTCCGATTTCATACAAATGGTGCCCCAAAGTCCCTATATATCTTTTGATTTGCACGAAATTTAGCATAACGTACTGAATTAAGCCTAGAGTGATGTCTGGCAATTTTCGTGAAAATCGGTCCAGATTTAGATATAGCTCCCATATATAGTTTCGTCCGATTTCATGTAAATGGTGCCCTAATGTTCTTATATATCTTTCGATTTGCACGAAATTTGGTATAACGTACAGAATTGAGCCAAGAATGATGTCTGCCAAGTTTCGAGAAAATCGGTCCAGATTTAGATATAGCTCCCATATATAGCTTCGTCCGATTACATGTAAATGGTGCACCAAAGCCCCTATATATCCTTCGATTTGCACGAAATTAGGCATAACGTACTTAATTGAGCCCAGAATGATGTCTGCCAAGTTTCGAGAAAATCGGTCCAGATTTAGATATAGCTCCCATATATAGTTTCGTCTGATTTCATGTAAATGGTGCCCTAATGTTCTTATATATCTTTCGATTTCCACGAAATTTGGTATAACGTACTGAATTGAGCCTAGAATGATGTCTGCCAAGTTTCGTGAAAATCGGTCCAGATTTCTATATAGCTCCCACATATAGTTTCGTCCGATTTCATGTAAATGTTGCACCAAAGTCCCTATATATCTTTCGTTTTGCACAAAATTTGGCATAACGTACTGAATTGAGCCTAGAGTGATGTCTGCGTTGTTTCGTGAAAATCGGTCCAGATTTAGATATAGCTCCTTTTTATTATAGATTGATTTTAAGTAATTGACGCACCAAGAACCAATAGGAACAAAACGTTCTGAAATTAGTCTAACCTTCTGTCACAAGTTTGTTTGAAATCGCTTAATATTTGGATAGAGCTTCCATATATATTTTCGCCCGATTTCAAGTAAATTGGGCATCAAACTCCTCATGTTAGTCAGTTTGTCATCAAATTTTGCACAACGTACAAAATTGAGCATAGAATTATGTAGTTGCGTTTTCTAGAAGTACAGACATAGCCCAACGGATGACCCATTTATATTTGTTTGAAGTCGATTTACATACTTTATGGATAGATCTACGTAGATTAACATTTAGATAAATATCACATATTTTATTTCATCCAATTTCATGCTAATAGTCCAGTTTAATATACCCATAGCGGTTAAGGGTATCATATAGTCGGCCCCGTCCGACTTTACTACTTTCCTTACTGGTTTTGTGCATATGTTTGTAACATGCAAAAATAATCGAGATAGACCCATGGCTCCTTTTGAGAATATGCATAGAATCACTTTTTGAGTCGATTTAAGCTCGAAATTTGGCACAGCGTAGCAAATTAGGTCTAGAATGATGTGTGTAAAGTTGCCTGAAAATCGGTTCAGATTTATATATAGCTCCCACATATACTTTCGTCAGATTTAATGTAAATGGTGCACCAAAGTCCCTATATATCTTTCGATTTGCTCGAAATTTGGCACAGCGTAGCAAATTAGGTCTAGAATGATGTGTGTTAAGTTTCCTGAAATCGGTTCAGATTTAGATATAGCTTCTATATCTGACCAAATGAACAATTTAGTATCGGTTGCAGAATGACGTGTTTATGGTTCCAATTTCATTTTACTGGTCCTTTAAAAATGCGACTTCTGTTAGGATTCATCTGTTGAATATACTCAAAGTGGTGAAGGGTATCATATAGTCGGCCCCGTCCGACTTTACTACTTTCCTTACTGGTTTAATTATTACAATACTGTCGGGCGACAGATTTATTGGGTTTAATTTGGATAGTTGGGGTTTTAGAAAAAAGGGATCAAGAAGATCTTTATAGTTACACTACTTTTAACAAGAGTGAATAGAGATGGGCGGAAATCGATTTTGTTCCCCTTTCTGAGATGGGAGGACACCGATGACTACAGGTCCAACTCGATGAGGTCGTCATCGGTGTCCATCGGTGTGGTACCCACGTACGGCTTGATGGCAGTCAAGTCCGTCAATGAATTTACTATTCGTCATTGTTGCATAAATCTTTTTTAGATATTTAACTTGAAATTCACTTTTTATCTAAACCTACAAAGTTGCCTATTTTGAGCTCCTGCTCCAATATTTGTCCGATTGGGACAAAATTTTGCACGTAGTACTGAATTAGTCCAGACTGATGTTAGCGAAGTTTTGTTAAAATCTGTTCAGATTTACATAACGATTCAGATTTAGATATAGCTCCCATATATAATTTCTTCCGATTTTATGATGCACCAAACTCCCAATATTTGTCTGATTGGGACAAAATTCTGCACAGATTGCTGAAGTTTTGTTAATATCAGTTCAGATTTAGATATAGCTCCAATATATAGTTTTGACGGATTTTTTGTGAATGATACACCAAATTCCCAATATTTGTCCGATTGAGCAAAATTTTGCATACCGAATGCAATTGAGGAAAATATTATGCATGTCTTATATATATTTTCGATCGATTTTATGTAAATGGTGCACTCAAGGGCCAGTGTTTGTTCGATTTACAATAAAATTTGGTAGATCGTATTAAATTGAATATAGAGTGATAACGTGTATTTATATATAGCTCCCATACATAATTTTACTCGACTTCATACAAATGGTACAACAAAGAATCCAAGTCAGTCCGTTAGATATGCAATTTTTCATTGATTTCAGAATGGTATGTGTTTTTTCTATTTGGTTCAAATATCTATGTAGATAGCACACTTAATTTCGCCCGATTCCATCTTAATGGTACTCCAAAGATTCTATGTGTGTTCTATCTACAGGATATTTTATATATTAATATCTCTTGTATGTACCCAAAATGGTGAAGGGTATCATATAGTCGGCCCCGTCCAACTTTGGATCCTTCCATACTGGTTTAAAAGTATCTTTATAAATGACATAAACGCAATGAATATGTAAGGTATTTAAAAAAAAACATACAAACATATATACTCATCTACTTCTAAGCCAGCTTCGGCAAGAATATCACCCTTCTGGGTTATA